TTATTGGCAGATATTTTTTATTTCAAATAAATTGAAATTTAGAAATTTCATACAAAAATATCCAGAAAATTATTAGATAACTGATATATAATAATAAGTTGAAATAATTTGTAAGTCTTTAATAAGTTGATAAATCACTCATGAAAATATAATCAGTTCATTTAGGAAAAAGATATCACCGTATCTTTTATATCATTTTCACCAACACTGTATGCAATGTTTTAATCAGTGAAAATAATTCTAACATTTTTTAATTAATTGATAAATGCATGGGAGTTTTGATACTTTATATCACTTCAAATTCTTTTCAACATATTCATATATTTATAATATTCAAATTACTTATAATTATTTATAATTAATGTTCAAATTATGAAATCATTTTAAAAATTTCATAATATTACACTAAAAAATATTTTAACTTTTGTAAACGAAAAGATTCATTAATGTTTTTCCATTTTTTGTTTCTTTTTCAACAAAAAATACTAAGAAAATGAAAATGTTGGAAATTATCCATTTGAAAGGGACATAATGGCGGTAATAGCAGTTTGGATGAAAAAAAATTTTTCGATACAATCTTTCGATATATGATAAAGTTTATGAGATATATGTAGCAGCGATAGATAGATAAGTGAAATAGAAGAGATGAAACGAAATTATCGAAGAGCATCCGATTTCCCATGTGTGTGTATTACTTTTATCATTTTCGTTTTGCATAAATTGCTATAGACTTATCATTTGAAATTTTATAAATAACTGAAATGATAAGATATTTAATGCTGTTTTCATTTTTTTGTTTTGCAAATGTATGTAATTAACCTTTGACCTAATTATTATAAAAAAGCAATAATTTTTTGCTAATTTTTTATTATATGTAAAGATATATTTAAGCATTATGCTATAAAATTGAATAAAATTTAATTTTTATTAAATCAATTACAAGTGATCTCTGTTTAATTTTCATCTTTTTATTGCAATCATTTCTCTGTTTGCTTTCTTTCTATTTTTTGTTTTTTTATGCATTATAAGAATATCAAATATCAAATGAAATAATTTCAAACGAGCAAATGACCCTACAACAGTCATTTACTAATACATAATTACAGTAACATGACAACCGATCAGCCATCAATCGCCACCCTCTCTTCCTCTACCTCTTTTAAAATAGCCATTTTTTTTATTATATTGTTGATAAAGTTTTATTTATTTTATTTCAAACATTTGAAATATTATTGAATTTGAATTTCTAATCTTTTCTGGCTTGAACAACGCTCTTCTATATATGTACCGTGCGTATTTGCATCTTCAAATACGATCTAATTATCAAATACGGTAATCGATCTATTCATTGAATACGGTAAGAAAAATATGTCGAAATGATAGAAATTAATTATCCGTAAAAGTTTTAAGTAAATTACTGTCATTTCTAAGCACTTTGCTTAAATGTATATGTTTTACTGGTTTTTTTCTTTAACATTTTATAGCTTATTATTTTGGCATATTAAAGTTCCTTTTTCTTTCTTTCTTTTCTTTTCGTCCTTTCTTTCTTTCTTCCTACTCTCTTGCTTTCCTTTCTTTTCTCTCCTCTTAACTTCACCATGAATTCAATTGAATTTTCTTCTATGTCATAAATTGTCGGTACATAATTTTGCTCAAACTCTATGGTTTACCTTCATTTCTTGTTCTTTATCTTATTCGACCTTTTCTTCTACCTGCCGAAAAAAAAGCTCAATGATTCTATATACTTCAACAAAGTGATGATCAGTGATCATAGTTCTGTTCCAAATAATAAAATTTAAAGTTTGTATTTGTTGAAGAGGCAGGTGAAAGAAGCGCGATTCAGGTACATTCAATTCAATTCATTCGTATGCTAACAAATGAAACGAACGACAACTTAAACATAAGCAAATTGTCGTATATCCCTCATTCTTCAACATATACTATATGTATCTTTCTTTTAACATTATTTAGTGGAATTCAAAAGATGAGCAAATGCAAAGCTTTTCTAAAATATCAAATCGATTAGTTAAATATAAATTTTATTTAGTATTATAATTTCAAAAGAAAGGAAAATCAAATTTTATTGACGTTTAATTGATTATTGATGTGATTATTGATGTTTTGATGATTATTTTCTTAACGCAAATTGTCTCTTCCCCTTTGTTTCATTACAACGCTCATTAAAAATAATTCTGGTCAACAAAACAACTAACATAACTACTGGTAGTAAAACATTTATTCATCTTTAATAAAATTAACGAAACTTCTTTTTTATTTTTAGGCTGCAATTTCTCTTCCTTCCTTACCTTAATTCATTTCAATTAATATACCTCTTAAGATGGCAGTAAGCAAAGTATAAAATGCAAAAAGTTACCTTGTAATATTTCAGATCAATAAGTAATTTCACATACAACTTTATTATTTGTTAACATAATATGCTATTTTTTATAATTTGTTAATATAATTAATTCTTGCTTCTCTACTTCTACGCTGGCTGTAATTATAAATTCGTTATCCAATTTCATCAGTATTAGCAATGTAATCGTTTTAAAAAAAGGATGCGAAATTCGTATGACAACGAATAACTTATTTATGAGTCATATTCTTTCTATCTCTTTCCTGAACAAAATACAGAGTTATAGCAAAATAGATTTTTTAGAAATGTAACTGAAAGCATTTCAAAATTATTGAGAAGAAAAGAATTAAATATTTCACATTATGTAATTTAATTACAAAATTAAACTTTTATTTTATAAAGGAAAACGACAATAAGACATCTATTAATAGCATATATAAGAAATGATGCCAGTAATGATAAATTGATAATATATTTCTTTGGTATAGCTAAAAATGTAAGAATTAATTTCGATATGTCTTCTAACTTTAAAAAGAAATTTAAAGGAACTGAAAACTGCTTACTGTAATCTAATTACTCTTTACTTTATTAACATATTTTAAGACAATCATTCTCTCCGTGTTGCATAATTACATTATTTTTTATTCATAGATAAATAAATTTATTATTTCAACCTAAAATTACCTGTTGTACATCAAAGGAAAAATCTAACCCAAATCATCCTATTTTGATCTAAAAGGATAGAGAAAAAAAATTAAAGCGAGGCGGAAAGCATAGGTGATAATTTATTGTGCGCAATCAACAATTGGCGCATTAGAAATTTTGGAAATGAAAAATTGAGGAATGTAAGCCACACCCAAATCATCAAATATATTTTTCCATTCTTCTTGTACTGGTACTAATCATCATCATCATCACTACCTCCTTCTTCTTTCCTTCTTCTCTTAACCTCTTCTTCCCTTATACCCCGTGTTAAATTCTATTTATTTCGGGTTCACCGGAGGCGGGAGGACAGGAAAAAGGAAGAAGTTACGAAGTAATGAAGGAAAAAAAACATTTAACGGTTTAGTTGAACAGTTTTTTTCTCTTTCTTAATGCGGCGATCAATTGTAAGCCAACTGATTACCGTTTCATTCGAGATTATTTCATTTCCTGTTCCATACTTTGAACCAACTTCTTTTTCCTCTCTCTCTCTCTTTCTCTTTCTCTCTCTCTGTCTTTCCTTTTTCATTTTGTTTGATTCCTTTTTCCGTTGTTCCGGTTAGTCCTTTTGATACAATTTGTATTTAATTCGTGATAATTAAGAAATATTGTTATGTTATATTATCATGATATCAAAGATTTCTACGTATTTTCATATTTGATATATCAGTGATAAGTGTAACATCCGATTGCAAAAACGATCATATGAAAGTATCAAATTGATCGTTTTTTCTTCAAAATTGGCAAATAGTTTAATATATTCTCTTTAATCAAATATATAAATATGTTGTGATTATTTTAATAATAATAATTATCAGTTTAAATTATCACTAACATTATAGACTTTCTAACGTTATCGCGTAAAGCATAATCACAAATTTTTGATGACTTTATTATTCGCACTCTTATTCAATATTAATTGCCTATCAGTATTACTGGCGCTATTATCATATTATTGGATAAGATGTTATCACAAATTTTTATTATTATCACATCTGTTATATCCTTTATTCAGACAATATTAATTAGTCGACAAGATTCTAACTGTAAAGGAATCAATGATTGTCATTGCTGCAAAATAAATAATCTATTAACTCAAATTTGGCAATAAAGTTTGCAATCGTTTTGCCAATCAAAAAGCCTTAAACAATTAAACTGATATCAAATGATCTTTTTCATTGCACGCATTTTTATCGGCGTTATTGTTATTGTTTCCAGAATTCATCCTTATATGACTAGAGTAAGCAAATAAAGTAATTTCTTTTGATTGGATAATTATTACGATATATTTTTATCACGTTCAATTATTACTTAATTCTCTTACCATTTTAAAATTTTCTCATTTTTTTCTTACTGTTACTAAATAATTTTGTTGAATGTTATCGTAACAAGAAAAAACCTAAAATTAAGCAAATTAAATCAACGCTTAAAATCGATGTAATAATTCAATTTTTAAAAGTAAATTTTAAAGATTCTTCTAAATTTTTGATACGTATCTTCAAGTGCAGAGCTTTAATGATGAAGTTGATAATTTGGAGCTGTTTACATTTATTAAACTGAATTGCATTAATCTTCACTTCTATTATTAAATTCATTAATTAATTTCAATAATTATTTACGGTTTAGAAGAACAACAAATATTCTAATAAATTGACGTTATTTTTTATAATATTGGTTTTAAAAACTAATTTATATACTTGAATATTTAAAAGAAATTTTTTTCAGAATAACTTCTGATTGATGATGTTAACCAAAATTTTCCAACGGTTTCATCGTAGATAACGATTCTGTTGATTTTAAGACGATTATTTTAAGTATATCTGTACTTCATGCTAAATGCTATAATTATCATTCATCGATTTCAAAAACGGAGGACAATAATTTGAAAACAAAAAGGAGAAAAAAGCGGACAAAAGAAAATTCAATACAGAAAATTTAAAAGATGGAAGTGCATCAATCACTTCCAGCACGATATTTGCATAATCCATATTTGGTGAAAAGCGAGGCAACATTACCGCAACAGCAACAACAACAACAACAACAGCAACAGCAACAACATCAAATTCTTCCACCTCAAGCAGTAGTAGTAGCAGTAACTACAACAACTCGGCAACAATCAACATCCGGTGTTTCCGAATCATGTTCTCTATCATCATCATCATCATCGGTATCATCCAATCAACGTACGACAACGCATACGGTAGATGCAACAAATAGCAACAATAACAATAACAACAACAATAGCAATAATAATATCGATGATAGTCACAACAACAGCAATGAAAATAACAATAACAACAGCAACAATATTACTAGCATACAACAACAGCAATCTCGAAATGGTACTGGTAAGTGTTGTAAATAATTTGATAAAAAAATAAATTTGAGAGATAATTTGTTGACAAGATTTAAATAAAATTTGCGGGATTTATTTTATTTGATAAATAAAATGAATTGTCAAATCTAAGCAATTTTTCACAAATCGTAGATTTATAATTGAAAGAAATGCTAAAAATAGTAATAGGATAAGGTCAAAATTCTTTAATCTTAATCTGAAATAAGAAAATAAGTTCGCAAATAATAGCAAATTAAGATGAATTAATAATTTTGATAATTTGATATTCGAGGTTTAATTTGATATTTAAAATTTGATAGTTTGTTATTTTAAATTCAATAATTTGATATTTGAAATTTGATACAAATGAAAATATTAAAAATTAGATCTATGTCTTATCTTTCAATTTACTTCATACCAAATCTTTTGTTTTTATTTGCGTCCAAATTTTCCTCCTCTAATGTTTTGACGTTAAAATTTCATGCAAGGAAGCGTTGATTATTGTTTAAGCTAAGTAATCCTAAAAATTCATAAGATAATAAATAATTTAAAAATACTTACAAAGATATAAGCTGAAAGGTCGAATAGCTTAGATTAAATTATATTTTTCAAGTAAGAATTTGGCATTTTTCTTTTCTTTTCAAATTCCATGACAAAGAAGAAAATAATAAATATGAGGTACCTGGAATACATTAAATTTCACGCATAACATTTATTGATTACTAAATTAGTCGTACGTAATTAACGCGAAATGTACAATAATGTATCGTTACCAGTTATAGCATGATATCGATTAAAATGGAAATTCTTTTTTTAGAACAAATTTATTAGTTAAATGATAAATGAACTTTATTTTTCGTTTTTCTTTATTAAAATTAATTGATACTCATCGTTTTCTAGTAGCAACAGCAGATTATCGGTTGTACGCTCATGATATAACTAACGCCACCGCTACAGCAACAACTACAAATTCCCAAACTCCTCATTCATCATCCTCTAATATCCATCAAAATGGTAATTTTTTTAACATTTACCTATACATTTTATCTGCTCATTAGCGTCAATATGCCCAAATATAATCCCACAAGTATATGGATAAACATCGCACGTACATGAATAAGCATCACTCGTAAATGGATAAACATCGCACGTACATGAATAAGCATCACTCGTAAATGGATAAACATCGCACGTACACGAATAAGCTCGTACAAGGATAAACAATGCATGTGTACGAATCAGCATCATATATACATTGCACGGCACGAGTAAGCCTCGCACGTTCATGGATAAAAGTTATACGTGAACTGTACATGAGCGTCTACACAATTGGAACACATATATAAATATCTTTCCTTTTTCATTTTTGAATATTTTATGATTTAATTTTTCGTTTTTAAATTCAATCAATTCAATTTGATTGAGAAATTTTTTCTCAATCAAATTTATTGCTTTAATAAACTTTCTTCTTATTTTTTCGATTTTGCGCCTTAGCTCCTTTCCCACAATATTAAAGGTTTAAGCAATTATTTCCTAAAATTCAATTTTTTGAAAGAAGAAATATGAGTTAACAGCTATGTCAATACTTTAATTCAGTCATAATATGATAAGCGGTGATACATCATCAAAGTGTTTATTCTTTAAATTCATTTTTCATTCAATTTTATTCATAGGGCCAATAAATAATAATTAATTTGATTCAATCGTTACTTTTTACTTCCCGTTTTCAGGAAGGCCATTAACGGCTGATCGTAAACGACCATACAATTGCAATATGTGCTCATCACGATTTGGGTCTAAAATGGAACTTGAAGAACATCAAAATTCACATACCGGAGAAAAACCATTCGAATGCAATGTAATTTTATTTTTCAAATACAATGCATAAATATTTAAATTAGCATTTGGTTACAATTTTTTTCAAATTTTTATGAAAAACTTTTTAGATAGAAATATAGGAATAATTTATTATTTAAATTTAATAAGTGAGGGTGCATTATTATTTTATCACATCATCCTATTTTTAATCATAACATATCGTAATTATAAATAGCATATTATCATGACGATGATGTATTTTGATTGATAAATATGCAGAGAGTTGAAAATTCTGTTACGACAACAGTAAGATTAATCATATCACAAACATACTAATTTAATTAAATCACGTGCCACATTTGTGTAACAAATAAATCATAATATATTTTGTGTAATACGTTTATCTTTCAGTTATGAGATTGTTGCCAAAATCTCATAACTGAAAGCTTAACATATTACACAAAATTTATTATGATTCAGTTATAAGATTGTTTCCTTTTCATATTACACTTAAGTGTCATCTGTAAAAGATGATAGAAAAGAATAATAATTTATAGCCATATGTGAATATAAGCTGAATCATTTAAGTTTTTATATCCAATTTAAGTTTATATAATAAAAAAAAGAAATGCTAAAATTAAATTTAATTTTATTTATCAAACTTTTTCGAAAATGGATGTTAAAACTTTCTATTTTTTCTCTGCATTTATGAAAAAATTTGGATATAAATTTAATGTAAAAAATTTTTAAATGATAGAATTACATCAACACTTTCAATTTATTTTAGTAATTACTAATTATTTGTAAAGAAGAAAGAAATAATTAGATTATCATAAATAAATAAAAGTATTTGATATGATAATGATAATGGAGGAATATAGATGTGTAAAGCGCGATTCAATCGTCGTTCAACACTTTGGAATCACAAGCGAATTCATTCGGATGATAAACCATTCGAATGTAATGTATGCCGTATGACGTTCAAATGGAAGAATTCGTTGAAATGTCACAAAGAAATGCATCAACGAAAGAATGAAATGACAGGAATCGAGAATGATCCATTGGAAAAAACTCTCACCTATGCAACGGCAGCTAAACGACGACATGTTTGTTTTCTTCGTTTTATATTATTTTAAATTTTATTCTTTTTTGAAAAAAATAAGGCGAATTAATTACATGAATATTTATAATTAATTCATTTGAAGTTTATCACATTATTTAATCGTTTATGAATATGTATTATTTAATATTGATTTTATACTAATGATATTATTGAAATCTGAGGATTGGAATAATATCATTAATATGAAATTTGACAAATAAATATTTTTTTGTAAAAAAAAAATTGTTGTCAATAAAAAAGGAAGTAAAGTAGTATTTTTTTAAATTTCAATATTCTAATTTGTTCAGAATCAAATTAATGTTAAAATATGAGAAAAGAAGAAATTTTATTTAAAATTGAAATATAAAAGAAATTAATTCCTTTTTTTATTGTCCCACTATTTTTTTACAAAAAAATAAGATGCAGAAATTGAATCTTTTTGAATGTTATATTAAATATTCATTGAAATCATGCTTCTCTTATTGATATTTTCTTGTGCAGAAGTATTTTATATAAAGATTAAAGAGCGTGAAGAGAGATAGCGTATGATAAGAATCCGTATTTTAAATGCATGATTATGTATCAGAATTAAATTAATCATTTTTTGAAATCGTTTTGATATTAAAAAAACATTTTTTTTTACATTAATATCATTATATTCTACTTAAATTTTTTACCTATTAATAATTAAAACAAATATAAACGTCACATTTTATAGCAATGATAATGATGATGATAACAGTAATTAATAATAATAGTAAAAGCAATAATAATCGTCTATCAGTTATTTGATCAGATAAACTTATTATAGAGAAAATTTTATTTTAAATATTGAATTTGAAACAAAATTTCCAAGTATTATTATTGTATATTAATATCAAAATTTTAGCTGGAGAATCACGATGTTGTAAATGTAAGTTCAAGTTCAGAGACGGGAGCAGGTAGTGTACGATTGATAACAAGTTCAGCAAGTGGTGTTAATCATTTAACAGGACCGGGAAGGCGACGTAACACCAGATTATCAGTGCATTCACGATCGACAACATCTGCCAGAGCTGATCTTATCATTGGTACTGCCAATATCCCAAACAATACCAACAGAAGTAACAGCATCGTCAACGACAACAGCAACAGCAACAATAATAGTAGCACCAATTCTAGTCATTCTCTTATTGGTCCAAATGATGCATTCATTCATACACCATTACAAGCGGTAAAGTTATCTTGTTAAATTTCAAAAATATTATTTAAAATTTTCATTTTTCCAAAGAAAATATCACATCTTTAAAATGAATATAAAATAAATTTCAAAGAGGAAAAACAAAAGATAAATTTTAGTAATTAACGCATATTCATTGCCATTAAAATGAAAAGAATTCGATCAAATATCAAAAATTATAAATTCATAATTAATTTCATTAATATCTTTTTAATGAATTAAATTTAATAAACAAAAAATAGCTAACGCAGAAATTCTTTTTGCCACAATGAATTAAAGAAAATAAAATTTCCGTTTTTCAATTTCCGAAATTTCTTTTTTGACAATATTTTCGGAAAATTACCTTTGGTAATTGGTAAAATAATGCTTATATTACTTCTAATTAATTAAGAACTTGAAAAAAGTGAATACATTCATCTTTCGCTTAAAAGTCAATTTTTTCATTTAATATGTTAGTAAAACGAGTTACTCATTTTTTTCAACCAATTTTATTGACAGAAATGAATCTTTTTCTCTTTTTCATTTTTCTACTCTTTGAAATCTGTAATTTATCTACATCATCCATCACTATCATTTATCATTTTAATTAACTCATAGAAAATTGAATAAGAAAGTTTTCTTAAATACTATATTTTATTAAACGTAATCACATAATTATATTAGTAATCACATTATTACGTAAAACAAAATAAGATTGTTACATTTCATAAATGAAAACAGGAAAAGAAAATTTTTTGTTTAGCATCAAAATGGTTAAATAATTGAAGTATTTGTTATTGGGTAAAATACAATACAGCAAAACTGTCATTCCACCCTTTCTTGCATTAATTCCGTTTAATTTGTTCGATAAAGGTCAACTTCCTTTTGCCAATTTCTCGTTTTATCGCATTCCTACTAATTAATCATTGATCGTCATACTGTCATTTAATATTGCTAAAATTCTTAAATAATTTTTTTCTTTGAGATAAGTTCTTTGGTTTCTTTGTTTTATATTATCAAACACATATATTTGAAAAAACAAATTTCAGGATGGTTTCTTTAGTAGCCAGAAGGCATTATCAATAAGTGATCACAAAGAATTGGATTCATTACTAAATAGTACCACACGGTTAACATCAATGCTTAAAGATGATTCCGCTTTTAAAACAAATCTATGGTTCGTATTTCGTTATGATATTTCTTCTATTTGTTAATTTTTTGTGTTTAAAAAATTAACGAACATTTTATTATAATATTTATATTTTTAATAATATTTGTTTTTATGATTAGAGCAATATTATTATTATTACTTAATGGCTTGCCAATGAAATTTACCATTTCTCTAAAATTTTTTCCTTCTTTTAATGCCTTAAATTGTAAAGTAACGAATAGTATTATTTGTCTCAGTGCTATATCATGGTACCATCAAATTTCCCATTTTTGATCAATTATTACAAGTTTTCTGATTGATATATTTCTGAAATAAAAGCAAAAAATAAATTCAATAAAATTTTTGAATGAAATGGCACTTCTATTTCTTTTTATTTTTTAGTTTATTATTTTATAAAATTGAAAAAGTTGAAATTCATTTTTCAATAAAACAATTGTCAGAATTAGCAGAAAGTTTTCTTAAGATATATATGGAAGTAAGAAGTGTATGTGGCAGTTAGAGATGTTAAGGGAAAGCGAATAATTTTTGTTTAAATTTCATTTCATCTGATATTAAATATCCTTTTTTAATTTCAGCGATGATTTGGCAAGCTTGGGGAATCAGAGTAATACATTTGATGCGAAACAAGAAATGAATGTAAGTTTAATTCAAAAAAAATTTTGATTAAAGAAAACAATAGAATGCAAAGAGTAACTAAATTCGATTTTATAACATTAGTGGAATGAATTTGATTATTTTTAAACTTTCATTTTCATACTTTTTCTGCCTTTGCTTTACGTATGAATAATTTGTTTTTCTCTATAAGACATCAAAAATTATTAGTTTTAGTTTGAAATGGAAATAATTTATTGACTCTTCTAATTTATTCAAAACAATAAAATTAAAATTTTTTCAGCTTTTTCATGCTAACCCATTTATGATGTTCGGTGCCCATCAATTGGTAAGTAATTCTATCCTTATCATACCGCCGCCTTCTTCACTTTGTTCTTTTTATTGTTTGACCGTATTTTAAATTAAGATTATCATATTGATTATCAATCAATATATTTTATTCTGATTAATTCATCCTTTTATATTAGAAATTCTATAACTAATAGTTTTTTTGCAGTTTGTATGAAAACTAATTTGAATGACATGGGAACTTCAGATTTGGCTAGCAAGAATTTACTTATTTAATATTTTTCATTTCCAAATTCTGCAATTAAACTCTAATTTCAATTAATTCAAAATTTTCACCTAATTTTTATTAATATTTTTATTTCTGCCATTTGAACAAAATTATTTATTTCAAAAAATAATTGAAATTTTGCTGCATTAAATCAACCTGTAATTAAATTAATTTGCAGCAAAATCCAATGCAACCTTTTACGCCATCAAATTTGGCCTTTTCAAGTAGTAACGGATGTGGCGATTATTTCCATTTGCATTTAAACAGTCAAACCGATCAAATACCCCAGCAAAACCTACAACAGCAACAACAACCGTTCGTATCCCAATATTCCACTCCTGGAACATCATCGCAAACCACAGATATGTTAGCCAGTCACAATCATAATGTGATTAGTTATCAGCCACAGGTCCTAATTTTCTTCTCTTCTCCTGGCTTACTGCTGACTTTGCAATTTCATTCCTTAGTTGCAAAACATTTACTGTAAAAAAATTAGAGAACGGATCAGATTAAATAATAATTAATCTTTGCTATCGAGAATTTTACCTGAGAACACTTTTTATTAAACTACTAAATTTATTGAAATTTAAAATTGACACTTCTCTTCAAATCCAATTCGGCTATCATTTTTGTACTCTGATGATTAGTATTATAACTTCCTTTTGATATACTTTAAATTTTATATGATTGAACTTTAAATGCTAATATAATCATACTGTAATGACTTACAATCTCTTGATTTCCTTTTTCAATAATAGCTCACTTTTACTTAACATGGAAATAACTCGTGGAAAATACATTTGAAGTAATGATTGCAGCTAGAAGCACCATCATCATTGATAACATCAGCATTGGATTATGCAGTAAGTGGTGATAATTTGGAATATATGTTAAGCAATTACTCGTCCACGATCTCATCTGCTGCTTCTGTTGCATCAACGGGAAATGAGGTACGGTCAAGTGTTGCGGAACACTTACAACAGCAACAATATACGGGACAAACAGCTGGTAATAATACATTACGAACCGATGATGTGGTTGTTGCTAGTGTTGCTACTGCTAGTAATACCGGCAAAGAGGTACCACAGGTATCATGGTAATAATATTTGATACCAATACCACCTTTTTGTCATTATCACCATATTTTCTATATGACATTGGTCTCATTGATACTCATTTGTAGTCATTCATCATTCATTTGGGCTTATATTACTGTTTCTCTTTTCATATTTAATTAAGCGTGCACTGAAATAATAAATAAATTGAAATCAATAGAAATGATGCTATTGATACACATCATGTTATTGATTAAATTATCGCAATAATTCCCATTTCCTTCCCTCTTTTAAACATATTTCATATTAAATTATTTAATGAAAAATATTGGCTTTATTTAGAAGAATAAAAAGTTTCAAATTCTTATTTCAGGTGCATGCTTTTTGCACAACGTAAACTCAAACGCTGTTTTCGATCTCTACAGATATTTACCTAACTAATTTAAAATTTGAATTTTATCAAAAAAGAAGTCATTTTTTTAATCTTTCTCTCTCTCTCTCTCTTTTCTCATTATATATGCTATGAATCCGGTTTTGAACAACAAAAAAGAAAAGAAATGATATTTATAATTCGACAATTATGGAAATAGGTTAAAATCATTAAGAAAAGAAAAAAGTGCTGCAAAATTTGGTAGTAAAATGAATTATTGTTTTCTTAAAATAATACGTGAAAATGATTAAAATACATTTTATGAAATGAGCATACATTTTATACCTTAAATTCTTTTTTCTTGAAATTTCTTAATATTCGAACGTTTTTTTTTGGAATGGACAATTTTATAATTAAACAAAAACATTCCAATTAGTAATCTTATCGTTCGGCAGTGTTCGCAATTCAAGCTAAATTTCCGCTTGATCGCTTTGAGTTTACTCATTCTCTTTTTCATTCTTTTGTCTCTCAGCATTCTTTGTTCAAATTTTAAGTCATTTTAGTCATGCGTCATTCTGAAACACGGCAAACTTTCTTCTTTTAAATCTGCTCCTGTAATTTAAATTAGGAAATAATCGAATTTAGCATAATATACTTTACACTGAAAGCAATCGTAGTTTTCTTTATAACTTTGATTTATAAATTAGAAACAATTTATAGTTTTATCGAATGGACACATACATTATGCAACATTTAAAATCGAGAAGGTTCAATTTTATTATCGATTATCTAAGATTTATAGGATTATTTCTTTTTGATCAAAAATGAGTTAATTTATTTCTAAAAAAATTTTCAATAATTCTTTATTATAGTATAAATTCAGAGTTTTCATTTTTGAACTATTTTCCCTAATTAATTGCATAGTATTTAATAAGTTAAGAAAAACATATGAATTATGTTAAGATAAAAAAGTGGGAAATCAAAAATTAGCTTTTTAGTAGAAATATTTTCTATTAAATAAATGACGTGACTGTGACGCTCTCATTTTCTTGCCAAATTTTCTTTTTAAATTTCAATTTGATAAAATTTTTATCAAATTTAATTTTTTCAGAAGAAATTTTTTTATATGATGTGCCTTGCAGTGTTATCAAATAAATGATAAATAATAAAATGTGCCTCATAATAATTTTTCTATTCATTTCCCATCCTTTCTTATTATTATAATAGCTTTTCATTTCTTCTATACTGTAATATTTTCTAATTTGTTTTGAAAGAAGAAATTGTGCCTGAGATTCCTTTAAAGTTGTTATACCACAAATTTAATAATTCCAATGTGCCATATTTTGTACAGTTCAGTGTTATTTTATTTGATTATTTTTTCCAGTGTATCTTTTTATATTATTTCTCCTTTGCAACTGAATTTTTCAATTCCATTTATTGTTTACCATTTTCAAATAGGAAATACACTGCCTTAAACTTCAAATTGTGTTCTTTTTGTTGCAAAACTGGAAAGCATTAGAAAACTGATTAAGTTCTGATAATTTTACAGATAAGGGACCAAAGAGAAAATTCCACAAAACTTAAAATTTAGAGTTGAAAAAAGAAGAAAAAAGGAACAGTAAAGATTTATCATTAAACAACAGAAACTATAAATCATACAGCGATCAAATATCATTCTTCCACGATAAATGTGTTTCATGAAATTCAAAAATTAGAAAGTATTCCTTCCTTCATATTGTAATGATTGTTTAAGCTTCCTTTCTCTCTTTTCCTTCTCTCTTTCTAAAAATTTGAATTTTTATATTCAATAAATAGCTCAGATTATGCAAAAATAAACAAATATAAAAATAAGAAATATGGAGCAAACATATTTTATCAGTGTTCGATCAGCTATTATCACATGGAATTCCGAAATATAACCTATTCAATCAGAAAATTTTCTCTGATTAATCATTATGATATCCGAATTGAAAGCGTAATGACAATTGAAATATAATCTAATTTGAAATGTTCAAATAGTTATCAATTTTTTTGAATCAAATATTAGATTTGAGTGATTAACGAAATTTAATTTATTTAATTCATTATACAAAAATATATTGTGCACTATTTGCGAATGAATTTTATATGATGTAAGACTAAAATGGAAGACTAAAATGATAAAAATTTAATATCAAGTGAAATTACCACGTTGCAAAAATGAGAATATTTTAATTATTTGCCTCTATTTAAAATTTCACTGAGTTATTCGCATGGAAACTTTGTAATTGTCAAAAGTAAGTTGGCATTAAAGTTTTCATTGTTTTTTCAACTCACTATTCTTTTCTATTTTTCCCATTTCGTTTAATTTATTTCTCTTATATTTTATTTAGTTTTGTTTTCATTTCAAATATTTAATTAGTATGAGAAAGAAGAAGAAAAGAAAAGAGAGAAAACAATACACAATGATGAAAATTTTTTGAAAATTATCTGTTCTAAACGTTATCATAAAATTATGTTATTATCATTTCAACAATTTGACTAAAATTTCCATACTGATTTCATACTTTTTAAATTACAAATAACAGTAACAGAAAATATGGCAGGATCATTTCCAAATATCGTTAAATTCAATTCAATCAGTTTTTTGTTTTTTATTTTCCTATTATAATGAACGTTTGTTTTATTCAAAATATATTATTGTTGCATAAATTTAAAGTGTAATTCTCTGCCTCACCCCGCTTTCCCGCTATTATCCATTTATTTGTTACGTTTTCCCCCGTTTCCCCATTCCCGCATCTCATTGCCCCTTTCTTTTTTCATTTTCATCACATATATATAAATTTATGTGAAAAAATTTTTTCCTGATATTAAAATATACTTATTTTTTTGAAAGAAGAAAAAGGGAGTAAAAAAACAATCACTAAAAATTGATTACTGTAATACGAAATACAGTATTGATTAACAATTAAAGAAGAAAAAATAATTAAAGTAAGAGATGAAATGGAAGCAGAAATTATATGTATTTGCAATGCTTTTATTAAATTATTATTTTTAATGTTTATGAAATTTTCGTTTCTTTCTTTTAACGAAATTTTTTGAATTATCATTATTTAGCAATAATGTATTAATATATTTAAGATTTATTTAGATTTAAATTTATTTTCAAATTCACTTTTAAACTCATACATTAACTATTAAAGTAGAAAGAGAAAGAGGAAATATGCTTTTGTTTATCAGAATATTTTTACATAAATTAAATGAAATCATTCTTACGACAAAAAATAGCTAATTAAATCAGAATTATATCACTTTATAATAAATTCTATTAACAGAATATTAGCAATATTAGCAATTGGTTTAATTTTTTTTATTTTTCATCTTATTGTATTTTAGGATTTCAAAAATTTTTGAAAAGTTTTTAAGAAATTGTGATCTTTTTATAAATGAATGATAAGATTTCCTCGTTTTTTTGCATAATTAAATGACGAGATCCTTACTGTAAGTTATATTTGTAATTAGTTTCATAAAAAAAAGAGACAAATGAATATTAATTATTCTGAACAAAAACAATACGTGCAATATGCATATTTCAACTATCTCTCTTATCAATCATAAAATTATCAATGATAAAATTATTAAAAAAGAAATTTCATCCTCTACCTGTTAATGATTATCATTCATTAACGATTAAATTTCTATATTTTTCTCTAAATTTTTTTCCTCAAATTTTTACTTTTTGCTTTATTTAATGATTTTTCATTATATCCTTTCTTTTATTAAAGTAGGAGAAGGATTGTGTGCTTTCTTTTTGTTTATATTTACTGATTTTGTGCTATTTTGTATATTTGCTTTTTTACCTTTCCCTCTCACCTGAACATTCTTTGCAGTAACATTTTGATGTATCGTACTATTTGCATTAAATATTTTTGATATCGTTATTTTTTTAGTTATTGTGGGTTTTATTGCTACGGTATGCCGAGTAGTAAATGTGAATTTCACAGTAAAATTGCGAATATCTGGAAGAATAATCTTTCTAAATTGGTTACGATAATACTCTTCTCCTTCTTGATCATCATCAAAATCCGGATAATCACGCTTAAGCGGCCGCACTTCAGTCCAAAATCGTTTGACCCGATGTTTTGTTAACATTTCGGATTGCTGCATTTTTCTTGATGGCATTTCATTGTTCCCGTTGCTATTCGTATTCCTTATCGATATAATTATCAGCAGTATGAAATCTAAACGAAATTATCACAAATAAAAAATAAATAGCTATAAATTATCTTTGTGGCAGTTGATTAATAAGTAATTAATAATTAATGAAGTAATTTGTTTATTTACTAAATTCTGTTCGCAGAAGAAATTTAAAATTATGCAAAATGCAGTGTATGATCTTTATTGTAAAATTTATTGCTTACATAATCTGTCGTTTAATTTCAGCACACTTATTCATTTTAAATTTCATTTCAATTCTACATATTCGAGAAAGCAGCTTACTAATGCTTTAATCTCTATAATTGATTGCATCGCATGAAACATGATCATTAGTACAATGATTAGTTTGAATTATTATTAGACAAACTTGAAGAGCAAACTTTAATGTCACAAAATAGGATTATTATAAATAATTAAGTGCCATTAATGGATGAATAAAATTAAAACAAATAGTATTCCAATTCATCTTTAGAATAAAATTATTAGCTTACACTTATGCATTATACCACATTTCACCAATTTTGCTTTATTTAAAAAAGCTGAAAAATTGTTACCAATTAGAATGATGAAAGCTGGATATAATTTCAAATTAATTCCAACCATTTCTTTTCAACCAGTTCTAAAATCAAATATTACTTAATATTATTGCTAAAATTTCAGCTTTAAAAGCAGACTCCTCCGTAATACATAATATTCTTTCGTATTATTCATCCGTCGCATGTATGACAAAGCGCTCGTATTTCATCATGTCAGCATTTAAAAATGAAAGATCATCCGGAAGTGACCATTTTAGTGAATAACATGTCTTAGAAGTTTGAAAGAAATTTATCCCCACTTCAAGAAGAAAATAAAAAAACAGGAAGAACAAATTTTTTAGCTGAAGGGAATAGGAAAAATACCATCTACAAAGATAATTTTAAACTTGCGGAAGCTGATCATATCTTTTCCGTATCTCCTATTAATATTTATATACCCGGAAAAAATGAGATTTCCTCTCACCCATCGAATATATAATTCATAAGTGACTGGAATTAATGAATTGCATTTCATTTAGCTTCTCACAATTTATATTTTTACTTGCAAATGTTTTTTTGATTGCTTTTTTCTAGTTGCTTTTTCCGTTCTCCTCTTTTTCCGGTTTATTATTGCCTCAATTACAGAAATAAACATTTTTTCACATTCAAATAACGTGAATGAATTCGAAACGAATTTTTACTTCCGAAATATATCGTCGAATAAAGTTTTGTTCGACAAAAAATCCTGCGTGGTATGATATCTCCTGCGATCGTTTTTTTTTTATCAGTAATCTCATCCTTTTTTCTGGCCTACTGCGGTCTTTTTCCCGAATAGTCTAAGTGACGTAAATCACGGAAAATGTCCTTTTTTTCTCGTGCATGTATAGGATAATAATTGGAACTTCAGAGAGAGAAATAATTTGATAGCCAGTCACAAATGAGAATCATATTCTTACCATATACAAGAGACGTCTTATGGTCAAGTACAGTATCCCGCCATGATCAATTTCATTCATTCAGGACTTATATTCCAAACTATTATCACTAATGCAATCGCATTTCCAAAGCAATGGTATTATTTCGTCTTTTACTTCATCTAATTTATGTTATTTGAAAGAAAAAAGGAGAAAAACAAATCACAGTGATAATCAGTATTTTATACTGAAAAACATAAAAATTAAAAAACACAAATATTTGAGAAAAAATGATGATAATTTAAAACTGATCTAATATTTCCACATATGAACAAAGAAGAACTAACAGCGATCAGGAAAAAAACGATATTTTCGGGAAGTGCCAAATATTTTGTACATTAAAACAATAGATATGCAAAACAATTGATCATTTGATTAATTATGCAATGAACAAATAGATAAGTTTCAATAAAATTGCTCATATTTATAATGAATTAAATAATACTTTCATCTTCAATTGAAATAAATGATTTTATTAAGAAAGAACTGCTGAACAATATTTTGAAGATATTATTAAATTAGTATTATTGATATTATTACTAATAGCACTTCTAACTTCTGTCAGAAATAATTTAAGACAGAAAAAATTGTTTGAGATAATTCAGAACAAAAACAAAAAACATTCGGATTTTCAAATTCAACAACATTTCAATATTTCCATTATAAGATATTACTGTTTCTTTAGAATACATACCAATAATTTGAACTTATATAACTGTTATCTAATTCGTTTATCTTTGTTTTTTTCTGCTCCGTCTTCCGGCAAATTAAATTTCATGATAGATGTCAGTTACATTAAGCTTGAACTTATCATCCTTCTGTGAAATTCAAACTTCGAAAAAACCTGCGTAACTAAATTTATAACAAATCTTTTTTGATAGCAAAACAAGAAAACAAATTTTTTCCGAAAGATTTTCAGTCAAAAGTCTTAGCAAAATTATTGGATCTACTCGAATTTCATTTCTGAGAAAGTATTTTTTATTTGTCCAGAATTTAATTCTATTTTTGATGATTGAATAATTTTAAAATCGAAATAACAACTTCATATTTATTTGAAAGCTCCTCTGCAAAACATTCACATAGCCATGTGGCGAAGAATTTACCACATAGAATGCATGCATGCATGTGTAATCCATACTTTCGAAATCTATCTGCAGAATGCATGCATGCATTATCCATATTTTGAAGACAACGAAAAAACGATGTTCCTTGTGTGAAAAATTTTTGAAAAAGCCGGAAAAAACGGCAGACATTTTAAAAATCTTTCAACAAGGGCAAAGAAAAAATGAATGAAAATGCTTTCAGGAATTGCCATGTCTGTTGCTGTTGCTGAAATTCCCATGCGATATTCTTTTATGGTATTTTTCGCTCAGCTGACAGAATGTTCTCCTAAAAAAAGAAATAAATTTGAAACATTACTGAAATTCATTATCAATTATTTCCAGTATCAACTATCACCGATATTATTTCATCGACTGATAGAGAAATCTTGCTACATATCCATTAATCTATAATTAAAAACTTCATCGTTAAAAAGTGAGACACATTAATTTAATTTTCTCATCCATCTCATTGATTTGATTAGTTAATAGTATGTGAATATTTTCGGATGACAAAGATAAGGGGAAAAACAATGCTTTTATCATTTTATCAACTATTACTAATTATTAACAGTTTATTTAACAAATTTTCAATAATAATATCATCTATAAACACTTACTGTTATAATTAACAGTTTCACGTTCTTCTGTTTCTGTATTACTTTGTTCCAAGAAGAGATGCTCATCGCTTATCGCGCTATGTTTGTCCATTTCTTGCTGCAAAATTGATATAATTAATTTTTTAATATTAAAATTTTAAGGGGAAAATTAAAATTTCATAGATTTTTATATACCTAAAATTATTTCAACTCTAATCATTGGAGTTTCGAAAAAAAAAGGAAAAATAACAGGTGAATAAATAAAGTTGAAGAATTAGTTTAATTGAAATGTATTCAAACCTCATGCTTTATTGATTTCATATGGACTGTTTCCTGCAATGATGAAATATTTGCATTCATATCAGCTGCACAAATATTCGATTCATTCAATACATCTGATGGAATATGTTGCATGTCACAAACTTGCCATTCCGGATTTCCGTTTCTATCACTGACGAATTCGATTTTGTCATTAACAGTCTCATAATCATCATTATTTGGAGGAAAATAATTGATGAATTTGTCCTCCGGTGATGGTATCGATTCACTTACAGAACTCAAAATGAGTTGTCCATTTGCTGTTAAACCACTGACAATTAAATGATATTTTTGCAACATATTGTTAGTAAATGATTTAGTTTGAAAAATTTCCGATTCTAATTTCCCTTTCTCGAATTCCAATTCCAATTCTTGTGCATATCGCTCTACTTGCCCGATACGTTCAATATCATCAGAAAATTCTTCAACAGCATCACTTCCTACTTCTTGTGATGTAATATCGTATTCAGCACCCAATCCATGTCCACCCAGCACACCATTATCTTGTCCTTCTTCAGATCCTCCTATAATAGTAGCATGATAAGGACTTGATATGGTCATCGGTTCTCCAGTGATGCCACTTGATTCCAATGCTTCCGTACTTTCATCAGAATCATTGGTCGTAATCATGGATGAGAGTACGCTACAGTGAGAGTGGACATTTTCAACTTGTTTTTGCAGCGCTTCGTCAAATTCTGATTTTGAAAAACCGATAGCTGAAACTTGAGTTGGAAATTCGGGGATACATTCCGGCACTGGCAGCACATGTTGACTTTCATCTGTTTCTCGGATTTCAATTTGTTCTGCCCCTTCCTCCAAAGCCTTACTTGTTTTCGTTCGTTCTTCAGCTATTTGAGTAATATTTTGTACCATATCATGTACATATTGTTGCAAAAATTTATTCAGATATCCTTTCGTCGATTGCTTTCCATCATCTAATTCTTCCGAAGCATCACTTCTGACCGAAGTTATCACTTCTTCATTCCTGAATATTTCGGATTGCTCCATATCTTTAATTTCTTGCGGTGGTTTTTGTTGATGCAATGTTTTAGCACCAGCTTCCACCTGATATTCTTCGATATTCTCTTTATCAGATTGCACCACTAAATTTTCCATTTTTTCTACATCCGGAACGACTGTCTCATCACTACAAACCACAATTTTTGGGATTCCTCCGACATCAAACATTCCTGCAACAGTTACTTTTCCCAAGTTTTCACATACAATCGCTTCAGATGGTAGTACTTCATGAGAAGCATAATGTACTTCCGACAATGCCTCGTTTTCCCTTACTGCTTCTTTTGTTTCCAATTCTTTTATATTATTTGCTGGAATGGAATGTGCCACTTTCTCAGATTTTTTTTCGAAAGTTACTTCAGAATTTGATTCTACTGAAGTCATATCTGTTCTCAGAATGTCTGATGTCAATGAATCTACAGCATGCTCAAATGAGTTAGACTCTCCTTTTGTTAAGTTAAGATCATCGGTGGATTTATTCAGGATTTCTTCTGTCCTATACTCTTTTTCAAAAGAGTCATCAGCATTTGAGGACATCGAATCGAAGATGTTGGAAGTGAGAACATTTTCTTGAACATCTGATTCACGCTTTTCAATTGGAGTTAAAATAAATGGCTGGGATTCTTGCATGCCAACAATCACAGGTTCCGAATTATTCGTTATGCCCTCAATTATCAAATTTTTAGCATTCAATAATATTGCTTCTGGTACTCTCTCTATTTCCACTGCATTCATTTCACCCATTTCTGGTTCTGTTTCCTGAACTATTATTTTACTCCCTTCAACTAATGCATCATCATATATCGAGCTTTTCATGTACTGCATAAGTTGCTGAGTAACAGAATCACTTCTAGCTGATTCTGGCGGTTCTGATTCTGTTTGCAAGACATCGTTGACTTTTTGGACTCCGTTGTTTGTTATTTCTGCTCCGGCTATTGATTTTGCCTCTGAAACCTCTGCTCCTAACCATTTTTCTGAATCGTCTTTCTTTGTCTGTTGTACTTCCATGCTTTCGATAATTTCCTTGCTAATTTCAGTACAAAAATTCGCAATTAAGGGTGCATCATTCGTGAAAAATGATTCTGATTTTTCTTCAGTTTCAGGATTGCTAATGAATTCCAGACCATCTATATTAGCATCAGGTTGTTGAGATTTTTCTCCAAAACTTCCATCAGTCACGCCGTTTTTCGTTACAATGTTTTTTTCCTCATATTTTAGCTGTTCATCAATTGAACAATCAGGAAGTTTTTCCACCTGAAAAACACCTTTCATAGATTCCAATTCTTCTTTTTTTGTCATACCATTTGCAATTTCAGTTTCCTCACTTAATTGTTCACTATTAGACAATTCATACTCATTTGCAGTGGAATCTCGTACTTGCTCAAAAGAAATTTCTGACTTCGTCATCTTTTCATCATCCATCACCGGAATTGATTCTGGCAATTTCGACAATTTCTTAATATGTTCTCTTGCATCCTGATCTATTGCTGATTCAACCTTCGTTACATGCGTGAAATGAATAGGTTTATCTGCGGATTCTTGTTCACCATCTGTGGATTCGATTTCTGTGCAGCACACAGCGCTTTCCTGTTCGTCGACAGAATTAGATTTTTCGGGGTATACCGCAGAGGATACCAAATCTTCGTCAATCGGATTAGGGTTTTCCACTCTTTCTTCCAGATTTTTTTCTGCAACAAGAGTTTCCTCTTTTAAATCAGGTGAATAAGCTTCGGTTATCGCAAAGGAATCGTATTCTTTCAGTTCACCACCTGGCGATATTTCCAAAATTTCTCCGTTAATTGCGACAAATTCATTCATATCGCATTCAGCTTCATTAGACATGACTTTCTGGTTTGCAGCATGTGAAAAAGTATTGCTGTCTACAAGCATAGGTACTTCAACTGACATTTCAATATCATTTATTTCCGGTAGTTTATCTTCGGGAAGTATGAGTTTTTCAATCTCCAAGTTACGCGTTCCTGTTGATGATGAAATAATCTCATCAGGTTTTTCAAACTCTCCCACAATCATTTTATTCAGTTTCAATTCTTCTGTCGGTAATTCTGTGAACATTTCTTCTAACTGATTGCGTTGATCCTGCTGCTTGCCAATTTGAACAATTTCACTTTCAGTAGTTGAACTTTCACCTGTAGGCAATCTTTCCGATTTATTTTCTGTTTCTATTCTATTTCCATTCAGTTTTCGATTCGCATTGATCTCTTCGGGTACTATCATTTCGCACGAATCAATTTCATTCGCGATTAAATTAGTCGGAGTTTCACGGCTTACAAGATTTTCTACTGCTCCAGATGCCATCCATTTAGAAACAAGAGGAGTTTCCTTATTTACTGATTCCAATTCTGTCTTCTCCAACATTTCTGGCGATAAATTGAATAGCAAGTTAGAGTTTTGTTTATTTTCAATTTTTAAATGCTCGATTTCTGATTGTTCAACCATTTGCTCTGACAAATTCGATTGAGATCTCTTTTCATCATCCAGTGACATTTTTGATTGGTTGAGTGGCGAAATTGACTTCTCAGATGTTGTGTCTCCTCCGGGTCTCAAATCTGTATCTTCCGGTGAATTAACACTCGAATACACTTCTCGTTCATCATCCAAATTCAATGATGATCCTTCACTTCTATGCTTATCTGATTCCATTCTTGACTTACCCACTAAGTTAGGAGCAGCAGAAATTGTTGCCTGAACATCAGCTAGCTCTGAATCGGTCTTCAGTTTTATTTTTTGAACTACACCAAATGGCTTACGTCCAGTCGGTGTTGCTGTTGTTTTTTGAACAACTTTTTTTGCTTCTGTTGGAGTTGATCTGAAAATTTTTTGCTTACAAAGTTCATTAAATAGTGGCTGTTAAAACTATACATTATGATAATTTCAGCGAAAATGACAGGAATAACTGACTATTTATTATTCAATATGATTCATTTTCCATATAAATGCATGCTAAATGCCAGGAAATTCAGGAATAAGAGTTAATAAAGATTTATTTTTTACAACTTCCACTTAACTAACGAAGAATTTTGGATCTTCCTATAATCAAAATTTCAGGCATTAATTAAATTATTCAATTGTTATTTAATTGTTCCTAAAAAATCAATGGTTTGACAATATGAAATCATGAAAAAGAACTAAATTACTTCTTTATATGTGATGTTCTGATTGCTGTCAAACCACTTTTCACGTTTCGTGAAACAGGAGGCAAGCGAGCATTATTTTCGGTGGTACTACGTAGACGTTTTGATTGCGAATGGTTACCATGAGAATTATCGTATATATCATTACGTTGTAATTGCGGTTTACTGGAACGACTGCGATGCTGATTCAATTGTTGGATACTTCTGAAAGAAATCCAATAACAAAATGGAAAGCATAAAATGAAACATAATAAATGAAATTTGTCAGAAAAGTTCCGAAATATCTTTTCTGGCAGTTTATTTGCGCATGTTATGATATTGCTCTTCGGCCTTAACACTTTTTTAAGATAAAAATGAAAGAAAAGTCATAAAATGGGATTCAATAAAATATATGAAATGCTAATTTAAATATACATCCTATAAATACTAACTTTAAATGAATTGAAAATAATAATTGAAAATAGTGATAGTTTTTATTTAATAGTAGAATAAAATTTTAATTCGAAACATTTGAAAATCATCTATGTAATAAAATTTATAGTTAAATGAATATTTCTAAATGTAGTCTATTTTGAGGTTTCGCACCAAAATTTTCTTTTTGCTTTTTCTGATAGAATAAATTTTGAGCAAAAATTTGATCGAAAATAATTTAATAATTAAGAAATAACATATAAAATTTTTGATATTTATCGTTGTTTTTCTTCTTCCTTCTTTATTTTGTCAAAAATTTGAAAGCAAACATTATTACCATTTGTTTTATGTTTGCTACAAAAATTGATTTGAAGTCGATAATTTTACAAATTCATATATTTTCATTCTTTTCCATGGCATATCATATGCAAATAACCATAACGTTGATTATTAATTAGGTTGAATTTCAATTACTACACCTACATATAACATTTGGACATTGTAAATTTTTCCAGTTATACTATTGAGATGTTTTATTTCGTCTATTTATTCAAATCAATCGATTCCAATAAGTAAGTGGGTTATTAAAGATAGTGAAAAAAATTAGATCATTTGAAATCAAAGAAATGTTTGTAAATTAATTCATGTAAATTTAGAAATCTAAAAAGTATCTAATTTTAGCACATTATTTATTCTGAAAGATTTGCATCACCCATTTTAAGGAAATGAGATTAAGATAAGTTATACCATTGTAAAAAGATGAACGTTTTCGATGAAATAAGAAAAACTAAATCTTTGCATGTATCATTTCCACTTCCCAGAATGCATTTCAAAAGGCACATAATATTTATCGATCGATGATAGATCAAAAATAGTAATTTCAGTGTTTGTGGTTGGTTTGAATACCTCAAAGTCGGATGTTCATGAATACTGCTTTGTGTAGCAGAAGAAGTAATAGTAGTGGTAGTAGTAATGGTAGTGGTAGGCGTAGTATCGGTCAAACTGGGTAGTGACCTGCGTCTGAAGAACCACGACACTTGAGGATCATTTTGATGTCGTGCTACTGAAAATGGTCCAAATGAAACTTGACGAAAGCGTTCCAAACGGCTTAATTGACGTCGCAAATGTTCCATATAGAGAGCTAATGTTTCGTCATCCAACTTCAAAAGAAATAAAATATGACAATCATTTCACATAAAAAGAAGAAAAAAATGTATTTCAGGAAATGAAATTTATTTTCCGGTTTAAACTTTACTCAATAATTGTAATGCCCTCTTTAACTTGTCATGATTTTAAATCAATTTTAATGTCCTATAATTCTAGCCCATTTTTTATCCATTATATTATATTTTCTTCTATATCATTTAGAATAAAAATTTTGAACTTTAACCTTATGTAGATATCGATATTTGAGTATATTCGTCGACAATCTATTGTAAACCAACGATGGATTCTCATACATTGGCTCTTCATTTTCCGCTTCAATTTTTTGCACCAAATCCTTATCATCGATACTGGCTGATGATCGACGTCTTCGCAATCTTTTCATATAGCGCCCTGCGGAAAAATATAATTATAAAAATTTTAATTGCCAATGAACTTGTATAAAATATATCAAAAGACTGATTTTTGTTCATTTTTCTAATAAGCAAATAATTCGAATTTTTTAAATTTAATTTTTTAACTTTCAAATGAGTGCTTATTAAGAAAGAAAAGGAGAAGTTCTTCCTTTTCCACAACAAATAATATCCGCGATGACAATTTCTTGCGCTTTTTTCTCCAACAATAATTGTTTGCTTTACAGCATTGAAAAATTTTTAATTGCTGCTGAGTAAGTGAAGAACTAATTAAATTAATGAATTGCATTACTCATCATTGATGATAATTTCAAATCGTTTTAATTAATCATTATGTGTTAAAGCAATCAAATAAGTAAGTAATAAAATAAATAAACAATGAGCAAATAAGTCTTAGTAATTATTTCCGTAATTATCCAGCAACTTCAATGCAAATGAATGCAATATGACTGTGAAGTAATTTATTTTTATATATTTTTCCGACCATTCATCGTATAGACTAAAACAAATTGAAGAAAAATATAAATAAACGGAATTAGCATGGATAATAGTCTCTTAGATTTTAATTTATGACCTCAAGGGTCTACTTTTGAGGCCATAAATTAGAATCTAAAACTAGACAAAACATGGAATATATCAATTTACAATTACTATTTCATTCTTCATTATCCCACCAAAAATTTCCCTGAAAAGATGAAAGAATTTTGATTCTTAAAATTTATTACGAAAGAAATTTTCATCTACCTCGACTGAGACTACGGGAAGGCTTTGTTCGACGATGATCACTTGGACTTGCTGCGCCACTCTGTAAAATATCATTTTATAATGTTTGGATATATTTATAATTAATTTCAGTATTGGTCAAAATTGCTAATGAATTCAAATATTTAGATGCTATTTGCTTACATTTTCAAACTTTTATATCAAATAGATTTTATTGCTGAAAAAAAAGAATTCAGCTGCAAAAAAGGTAGTAAAATTAAATTTTCTTTTAATTTAAATTACCAATTAAAACACCCAATGAAATCAGAAATTCAGCAAATTTTTCCTAAAAACAAAAATTTCATGAGACTAAATATGCATAATGAAAGGATGAAGAAACAATGAGAACGGACTCTTATCCTACGGCAAATTTCGATTTTTTCCGCTGCATGCAATTTGCGCTGCAAGTCAGCATATTTCTGCAATTCAGCTTCACGATTTCGCAGCGTTTTGTCGATTATCGCATGATGATGTTTATTACTTTCCCTGTCATCCATATCTTCGCCATGCCTAACATCATCTAGCTGAAATTACTTCATGAATCGATCAAGCAATCACTTCAATCCTGCCATTCAGTTTAATTTAATTTAATCCGTTCAATTAGCCGTTTCTATAAAAGACGACACTATCTCCACTTACTATTGGAGTGAATTTTGAATCTTTCCAATATTTTTCATTATTAATTTGCTAATTTTTAGTTAATATTGTTATTTAGTCTATTTTTTTTAACTCAACCGTTCTACTTTCCACCATATATTAACTTTTTATATTTTATAATTAATTAAATTTTAGAATCAAATTTCGACCAATTTTTGGTCAATTTAAAGAAACAAGAGCAAATTATGATAATTTAGCTTTATGCCAATTTCAGGTTGAAAATAACAGGTAATTCGATTGAAAAATTGAAATAAAAAACTAATTTTCATATCTTATGATATTCATTGATCTTAAGATAAACTATTGATAATTTTTTACAATCCTAATTACTATATTAATTTAATAATGTAATAATTTTTCATCCTTTTCGTATTTCAGTCATTTAATTCAACTTCTATTAACTAGTAATTTCAAATTGCAATGTTTCGGCTTGACTTTCTCTCTAAAGACAGAAATCATTGCAATATTTCTATGAGATTTAGAAGATATCAAAATGATTTATCAATAATTTATTCAATGGTAAGAAGAAAAAGAAATTAATACATTCGTTTAAAAATAGAAAATATAAATTTCATTTAAAAATGCATGAATAATTATCGATCGAGCCAGCAATGGGAATTTGATATGCAAATTTCTTCCGTTCGTTTTTCCATTTTTATATTTTTTCGCATTTCCAAATTGCTGCATCAATTTATATAAATTTATAAATTGGGCATTTAATGATTAAATGTCAGAAAAGCTGGAAGGATGGAGAAAATGATTGAGAGAATTAATTTTTGAATTGCAAATTGTTAAAACCAATTAGAATTTAATTATTATTGAAAGGAAAAAAAGAAAATTTTTTCATTGCCTTAATTAAAAATAAATTTAATATGAATATTAGAAATTAACAATCGATATTAATATTAATCTGTTAAATATGTTTACGTTTATCAGACATTTGAGATTGCTATTTGTCATCTCAAATATCGTCTCACTGATGATAAATGATATCTGAAATCAGGCTAAATTAACGTCATTTTCTGATATAATGCCATACAGTAAAGCGAAATACGAATAACATCGATTTCCAATGAGATAATAAATTATTTTCAGTATGACTATTAATGATTCATTTATGAATCATCAAGAAATATTTTGAAAAAAAGACTTATAAACAAAGAAAAAGCATTTTTAGGATAATAAATAAAAACGAAAAAGTATATTACAAAAAATGAATTAATTATAAAAATTCAATCTTACCTTTAAAAGTTGTCATTAATTTTTCTCAAATCATAAATAGAAAAATTTAATCTTAAACTCTCTCTGTTCAAATTTAAGTATAAGCTTAATTTAAAACCATAATATATAATATAATAAATCCATTGTTTACCAAATAATTCAACAAGGAAAAAATATTTTTTCGCCTATAAATAAATTTTTTTAAAATCTTTTCAAATTTGAATATAACTGTAAGCTATATCATATAAAGTGATAAATATATTTATTTAATAAACTAGAAAAGAAAAACGAAAAGCCTTACTAAGCCGATATTCCTTAAATGACGTTGCATATGTGGCATAGCAAAGTATTGGCGCAAATGTACATCATATAATGGATTATAGTTATCCAACAAATCGTCATTCATTGAAATAGTGGAAGTCATAAATGAATTATGAATATTTAGTGAATCTTTGTCAGCTTTGCTAATAATCACCGGAATGAACAAACAGAATTTCTTCTTTTTCTCCGCTTTTTTCCAATTCTTTTTTGCAATCTAACAATCAATCAATCAATCAATCAACCAATCAATTGATGGATCAAATTTATTTTTATTCTTTTGTTTAATACCAATTAATGTTTACTTTAGGAAAAGTGATATTTTTCAACAATGTTGCACTATTTTGTGGGATATGAAAATGTTTTCATATATGAAAAATAAAAAATAAATTTTGGTAAAAATTTATGTGAATAAAATGAAGATATAGGATATTGATTATTTGGGAAATTTAATTATTTTTTGGTTGAATTTCTTGATTTTTTTCCACAGATATTATCCAAAATATTGAATGGTTCAAAATTGCAATTGTAACTGATCCGATAATATAATATGGATCCTGAAATGAAACAAAAACGTTTAAATTTAATTATTATCATTATTATAAGCTAACAAAAGATCGTAATATGAATCTGAATATATTGTAATATAACAAATTATGGTATCTTTTGATGGGAAAGCAAATACGATAATGCTATAATCATAATAATTCTAATTTTATATAATTTCAAAAGATTTTTAAAAGTTAAAATATTCAAAGAAACTGAATTAATTAATTCAGCCATTATGGAAAAATTAATAAAAGGAAACAAACAATTATTGAAAATATTTGGTAAAAAAGTTTTTGGGAAACGATAATTTCATATTATTATGATCCATTTCAAACATGGCAATCCTATTTTACGTTCTTTTTTTAAAATTATTTTGAGAGTAAATTTAGAAAGGAAATTAAAATCAAAAAAATGACAATGCATACACACATACATACATACATACATACATATATTCACACACACACACACACACACACACCTATATACATTTACTTACATATATGCATCACACAAATATATGCATGCACACAAATATACATATATGCATCACATACATACAAATACACAAATATGCATGCACATATACATGTATCATATAGAGAAAATGTGACAGACGGTAACCTTTCTATATAGCCCCTTTTACCTTTCCCCTCTTCTACCTTACCTTTCCATATTTCGCGACATAAATTGTTGCATTTGAAAGAATAAAATTACTGGAAAAAAGTGAAAAGTGGGAAATTTCATGAGATATAATCCCTTCAACAAATATTTCATCATAAATAAATTTTGAAAATGATGATAAAATTTTTATTTTTAATTATAAATTATACTAAATTGACTGTACAATTCATTTTTGCCATCGAAATTTAACAATTATTTCACAATCGAATAAAATTGTTTTAGATGAAAATGGCTGAAATAATAATGATATTAATAAATTGACAAAAATTGAACTTCCACTACTTTTCTTTTTCCTCTCTTTTTCCCCTCTCTCTCTTTCTCTCTCTCTCCATCTTTTAATTGAAATACAATTAAATGAAAACTGAATTCTCTCTCTTGACAAATATTAAATTCATCTAAATTTATTTAATTGTTTGACATTTTAAAATTTCCATCTTCTTTTTACTTCTTCATAGTGGTATATTGAAAAAATGACAAAATAAATTGCTATCAAAAAAATTGATATTTAATAAAAGTGAATCAAAATTGAGAATTATTGTAGCAGTAAAGTAAATGATTAACGATGAATAGGCATGCATTTGTATGAATAGGTGATTTTAAATTTAGGTTGAAAATTAGATCAAGGAAGTTCAGAAAACCAATTAAAAAATGGTTTGAAATGAATGAGACGAGAAATAACGGTGTAAATGATACATGGAAGGAGAAATTTAATTGTCAGAAAAATTAATTGAAAAATTTTCAATACTTTAAACTAATCAAATATAATACTTAAAATTATAGATCATTAGAAATTTCAGGAAACTTTTGGCAGAAACAAAAAAAATAAACTTAAGACTAAAGTAAGAAATGAATTAGTAACAACTGTATGAAACAAATAACAAAATGAAATTATCAATGATGAATGACGGTAGGTTTCCTCGTTGACGTCATTTCTCGAATATTTCAGTTCGGCGAAATTTAATTAGCATCAGAAAGAAAATTCTGAAAATAAGCGATTAATTGGTAGAAAATTCATGCTATATTAAATTTGGTATTAATTAGTGTAATTAGTGAAATCATGACAAAATTTTTTCACAGAAGTTTAAAAAATGAAAATAATTGGGAAATAATTTCATTAAGAAAATGTATTTTTGAAATATCATTGCATTGATTCTCGAAATTTAGACTTCGGTTTAAAAAAGACATTTTAATAAATTGTTCTACGACGCGACAGAATTTAGCCGACTTTCAATTTTGTTTAATCAAGCAAAATATCTGTTAAGTGATTTTTAAATTTGCAATGAATTTGATATAGTTCTGGTTGTACCTTTAAATTGCGGGGAATATTACGGAAAATGAAATTCCGGTATGATATACAAATCTGAACATTTATTATTTTTCGGAGAATTATTTATATTTCCATTTATCATATAGTTTCATTATGGTATCAAACGGTTAACTGATAAACTGCTCAAATTATTTCAATGAAAAGTTTTTTATCAATACCGCACTGATTACAATGACAATAGTGATTAATGGCGAAAAATAGTCGCAGACGACAATAAAGCAAGCAAATGATTATTAAAGGAAGAAATATAATGATTATAAAAAGATTTTAGACAGCAAAATTATTTTAACAAATATTTGAAATGGATATTTTTTAATTGCTTCAAAAAACTAATAAATCATGTTAATCATTATAACATTGTGGTTTACAATACTATCAGTAGAATTAGAATTATTTCTTCTTAAGTTGAATACAACGAAAAAGTTTGTGATTGTCAAAATGATCATGTCTACAAGCTTAACACGTTTAAATGATAATGATAACAGAATGACGGTGATATGATTCATATTGGAAAAAGTTACAATTGATATGCGTCAATAACTCAGTAAATTCAACTTTAAAGAAAAAAACTAGGATAGGAAAAAATCGAAAACGAAATATTTAATTGCAAAGATGGACGAATTATGTAAATGAAGAAAATGGGATATGACAAACATCTTCGCAATCCATCCTAGGAATACGACTATAATTTATATCTCTGTTATATGGATTTTTGCAACAATAAGTCTCTCTCATCGATTTAAAGCCTAAGAGAACTTCATCCAAATTACATACAAATGAATTGCAAACGTTTTTCATGAGAAATATCGATGCCGAATATATAAATTACATTCATTAAGGTTAATTATTTGTCTCATCCAGAAGCATTTCCAGGATTCTTACATCACATTATACAGCACACTGTCTTGATGTGATTAGTTCAGAGCTCTTCATATGTTTAATCCGAAAAACAAATTTCATCTAATGAGCTTTATTTAATTAATTAATTACATTCTATTCCATCCTTAAAATCAAAACTTTATGTGTCAAAATTGCTTAAAATTATTCCAAAAAAAAAGAGAAATTAGCAAAGATTTCAAAAATTTCATCTTTTTATAAGTAAGCGACAAAATTTATTTTGCTAATATTATGTTAATTTTCAATTTAATTATACAAAATCTTACTCTTTTTAGAATCATTACATTGACTGTCTTATATTTAAACAATAAATATCATTTAATTAATTTTAGAGAACAAAAAAACTGGTAATTACAAAAATTTCTTGTGAATATATATTTTCTCCTTTTTTCATTTATTCTTCTAAATTTACTGACTAAGAAAAAATGCCATTCAATGTAATACCTTAAAATAAATTGTTACCTATAAGTAATTGGGAGAATGAAAACAACTGAATCAGCCATTTCAGTAAAGGTAAAAAAGCTTTACTTTCTTCCTTTAAAAAAACGAACAATTTTGTCTCAAATATAATAAACGATGTCGATAATTTCAATTTATACACACAATTTAAAATTTTATTAACTGAAATTTACAAATAGATCATCATATTCATTTAAAATTACGAATTATTTTAACCTTTAACCTTTTAATGAAATTTATACAAAATGGCAATGTAATAAAATTATCTTTCTCAATTTATTCACTAATAACCATTTTCAGACTACTTAACCTTTTAATTTTAAAATATTTTTTTTCCTACGTGGGACTATTCTCATTAGCAATACTTTTATTTCATTGAAATTTGTTAAAATTTTTAATTAATCAGAACACTTAATGCTTTTAATATACAAACAAAATTTTTTTCATAGAGCAAAATTATGAATTATATGAAAGGAAGTAATAAATATATCTTTTCAAATTCTCCTCATTCTTTCAACATAATAATAATATATTGTTGAGGTTAAATTATATCGAAAGAATATTAAAGGTATGAAAGTTTTTCCTTTTTTTTGATGGAAATTTTCGTCGAAAGAAAAAATTGAAATGAAAGAATTTCATCGTTGAAATAACAATTTGCGATGGATATTTTGTATTTTATAATTTTGTGTGAAAATGATAAGAAAGAAGAAAAACTGAATTTAATATTGAAAATTTGTAATATTTCTTTCCTAATTTTTATTTTTAAAAAATTATTTTCACAAATTTTATTAAATTATTTATTTAAGGCTAAATTAATATTTGCCTTTTTTAAATTGGTGAAAAAAAGTTAATACTTTTGTTGCTTAGCAACTTTAAATTAAATTGAATACAAGCCTTCTTGAAATGTTGAAAGTATCTGTCTGAAATGTTGATGAATTAATTCATTGCGAAGTGAGTATCATAATAAGCAATAGTTGAAGAATTCAATTATTTCATGTGTTTTTGCAAAAGAAATATATTTCATCGAAAAATGTGAAATGGGAATGAAATGAAAATTTAATGAAATTTCAAATTCAAAATGTACAATTTATTAATGTGTTCGAAGTAGCTTAGATGGCAAAGATCGATCAATTAATTAAAATAGCTCGCCGATATTGTTCAGAAAATAAAAA